AACCCACTGTTTCGCATCTCTGCCATTAACTCAGAGGGGTGCATTGACGGACCTGTTAGGACAAATCACTCTTTCAGAACAAATAATGTGTGATCATGCCCCTCCTCTGCGAGACGTACACTAGCGGCTTTGTTAACACAAAGACACACCAAATCAACTCCCTCGTCTCCCAGCTGGGTAAGGCGTACACCGTATCATTCTGCAGAAGCAGAGGTTTCAACCAATCAAAACAACAAATAATAATGTTTTCCCTCCAACACAAGAGTAGTGTCTATCTCTGCTCTTCTGCAACATACATATTACCGTCCTGACTCTCTCATGAGACACTGCCGCCACATTGATTTATTTGAATAACAGAAACACAACAACACAAACTGAGAGAAAAGTATCAAAGTACACCACACTACCTCTACCAGCTCGAAGTTAAAGGGATGCTTCAGCCAAAAAATGAACATTTTGTGCTTATTTTCCCCACTTTATGTTGTTCTGAAACTATTTTGAGAAATATCAGTGGTTTATTTGTCAAATTCTGTCCAAGTCAGGGTCGTTAGGTTCCATATGTTCTTTAAAAAAACTACTTTGCTTTGCAGAAGAAAGAAAGAGGATGCAAATGATGAAAGATTCTTATTTCTTTTTCAATTTTGGGTGAAGCATCAATGCAATTTAGATTTTATTCTGGAATCAGTGTTATTTTAGAATCACCGACATACTATTATAGTTCTTCTTATTATTTACATTTTTTTTTCACTTTGTTTCACTTCAATTGTAATTGAAGTTTTAATTTTGTTGCGTGTTTTTGTCATGTTTATTAGTTTTTTTTAAACAGTCTATTTCCTTTTCATTTTATTAATAGTTATTTATTTGTTTTAGCTCATTTAGTTTTAGTTATTTTAGTACTTCATGGTAAACTAAATGAAAATTAGAAACGTTGTTTGTTTGTTTTTTCAGTTTTTTTTAGTTTGAGTAAAACTATAATAACCCTGTCTGGATTTGAGTTGACATGTTTGGATAATGATAGTAGTACGTGTATGAAATATTCCATCATATTTTTATCCTTCAAAGGAAATGAATCGTCGATTTTCCGACACAATGCTACCATACGCTTCATGTATTACAAGAGGTAAATGTTTGTCAGGTTAGCCTACTTCAAAATATAAATACTTTACCAGCATCATATAAACACAAATAATGTATTCGATTACTTACATCAAGGTGTATGCCATGCCTCCAAGCTTTCTTATTCGCTTTGCTAATAAACGTTCTACGTTTCTTATTTATTTGGTTATATATTATACATGTTTACTTAGCCTATTTCCAGTTTTGTATACCTATTAAACTTTATGTAAGTTATTTGTTATTTTATATTAGGCATAGCCTGCCCTATAGCATGGTGTATTTTTATTTGTTTTGTTAATAGAAGTTCTATGTTTTATATATAGTATAAAGTGAGTTTGACGTTGTATTTTGTTGTTGCATTCAAGCAATTAACGCCGAACTGCCGTTAATTCAAAAGTGAAAGTAAAATGCGCACGGCGCTTTTAAGCTATTTAAAAGCGAAGGCCCCCGCCTGCGGTGATAACGGTATTACCGGTGTTGTCACACGTCGATTAACCGGTGGGAAAATTTCCTCACCGTCACAACCCTAGAAACCAGGCCTATATATCATATATCGTACAAGGAAAGAGCAGTTTACCTGCTTCATCACTGGCCATGGAGCTGGCGTTGATCCCTGACAGGCCAAAGAGGGGACACTCACGATCCGTGTTCACGTGACCCCATTTATGACACTTAATGCAGCGCACATTCCGCACCTAAAACAATGAAAGAACAAGGAAACAAGCACAAAGCCCACATTCACTGCATTTAGACATCCGTGGATAAGTAAAAACTGTTCATCTGCATCTATGAAGGTGTAAAGCACAGAACGAAACATCACCTGAATGCCAAAAGGCTGATCCCGACCAAGGAAACAAGCACAAAGCCCACATTCACTGCATTTAGACATCCGTGGATAAGTAAAAACTGTTCATCTGCATCTATGAAGGTGTAGAGCACAGAACGAAACATCACCTGAATGCCAAAAGGCTGATCCCGAATATTCATGTCATCCTTTGCATACCTGAGAAGACAGAAAATAACCGAAAGAAATGCATGAATGTGCAAACCTGAGAAGTGCCGACTAGTGAACTTACTTTTCACGAGGAGCTACTTTCTGCCACTCAAACTTGCACTCAGACTCTCCTTCCTAAGGAGAAAAAAGGTCATTTTAGGTCACATAATGAGCTGTAACTATAAGAGAAAAATCCACAAAATGCCTTCTTAACTCTGTAAAGCCTAACACACGAAATAATAGAGAAATGAAATGAAACATTTTACAATTTACACAAAATCTTAGGTTTTTCAGTAAATGTTTGAACATGTTGATGATTAAGATGCCTTAAAAATTGTGTATCAAATACAATACAGTAGGCTTTATGAGGTTAAACATACTTGACAAGTTTAATATTCATATTTAAAAGTTTGACAGAGCACAGTCACTAATAATCAACAACAAACTTTAACGTAATGTAAATGAACATTACCTCTTTTGTCTCCTCTGGAGGAAGTTGGTGATGATATAAAAACAACAACAACAACAACAGGTGAATACATACGCTTTCGTTTAACTCTTTTTTCTTGATTTTCTAACACTTTGAATTTGATCGAAAATCTTATATGTTTTTATTTTTGTCATGATTTGGACACGAATGATCAGTTATCATCGGTTACATTAATTTAATGACTCTTAAAGACTCTTTAATATTCTACAGATTTTTTTTTGTTGGTCCACAACAACATGAAGAATGTGCTGAAAAGCCAGTTTATAACCTTTAGACGCTCCTGGAGGTGCTTCATACATGAAATTAAGGCCGTTCTTCACACGATCATCTCCCATCAGCAGTCTGGAGTATCATACACACAAGAGACAAAGCTACAGGTAAAGACCTGATTATTTCAGTAACATCAGGGGAAACCCTGACCCTTCTTTGATCTAATGAACGGATGTCTTTCAGCACGTGACTGCTGGATCCAGGCCTGTGTCCTCTCCTCTAACCTGTTGTTGTATGTGTCCTGCTCCTTCACGTAAGCCTGCATCAGTTCCTCCTGCTTCTTCTTGTCGAAGGTTAGTTTCTGCTCTGCGATCCATACCTGAGAACCAGGGTTTAGGAGTTTAGCAGTGTCTCTCTCAACACACAAATAAAAGACCGTCTTCATTTGACATCACACTCTGCTTTCTATATGATTAGCTGATCAAACTGAATTTTTTATATCATTTTCAATTATATTTATATCACAATGATATATCAAATTATATCATTACAACCATATGATGTGTTTGTGACTAAATATATCTGCGTATCCAATCAGAAAAATAAGTAAAGATCTGAACTAATGTTTACACCATAGCAACAGTAGCTTAGCTTGCTAGCTAAAACCTCCCGTTTACCTTCTTTATGTTGGATTTTGATGCAGGATGAAAATCTTTCTTGCACATGAAATTAGCAAAAGACTTCCCCATGTTTGACCACCAGCGTAACGATCAAATTGTTATTAAAAACAGTTTTTTTGTGTTAAAGCCTTTCCGCCGAACAACATCAAAACACCCTCAGCGGCGCCTCTCTATGACGCAAAAAAGCACATCCGGGACACCGACGCAAAAAAGCACATCCGGAAAGGGTTAGATTTAATTTTGAAATTATATTATGTAAATTTTGTAACTCATCTCCAGATAATACAGAGCTTTTTTTTTTTGGTTGTAAATATTCTAGTGTATTCTGGTACAAAGTGCAGTTATGGTTAAAAGAGAGAAATGTGGTTGAACTGAACCTGTCCTTTATCGCTATTAAGTATGGAAACTATGAAGAAGGTGGTAAAAAAGGTTTGTTGATTAATGTTTTACTTTTGTTAGCGACGAATTTTATTCACAAATGTAGATTTTCTAAATCACCCCCCATGTTTATAGTATTTTATTTATTTATTATTTATTTTTATTTAGTCATTTAGCAGACGCTTTTATCCAAATAAGTATTTAAGAATTATTTGAGACAATACTCAAAAACTTTATAAAAACAAAACAAAAAAAAGCTGGAATCTTGTTAGATTTATTTGATAAATATAATTTATTAGATGGTTTAAAGAATGAATGTTTTTTTTTTTTTGTATTCTGTATAAGTCTAAGCCCCTCATAAAACTGATGTCCTTGAATGTAAGTTGTATGCCAATTTGTTCTGTAAACTTGTAATTTTTTGTTATACTTCAAATAAAAAAATTAAAAAAATAAATAAAAAAAGCACATCCGGGGTTTGCCGTAGTATCTAAATAAATCTGCTAGTGCTATGCAAGTATGCATAGATGTAAATTTGGGAGAAATAAGTTCAACAATACCTAAAAACATTATTAGATAAAAAAAATTATAAAGCTGTAAAATGAGCTAATATTTGTCAACATTTATTTATTTATTTGTATATTTATTTATTTATACATACAGACATCCTGGCTGTATTTGTAAATTTTAATAATAGTAGTAATAATAATAATAATAATAATAAATTAAAAACGTGTTTTGCTACTTTTATTTTCATTTCAAAACGTACAGCGCATGTAGTAATACATCATACTATTTCTTAAATAAATAAACAAGCAACTGTCAAATCATACAAGCGGTTCATTTTCTTTTTATTGATTTTCATTATTTTATTATCTCATATAATTGTATTGCCACTCCTGTAATGTTTGTTATTTATATTATACTTTTTATATTATAATGACTTGTTTGGTATTTTCGATGCTTTGCAGTGTTTGGAGTTTGCGACGGCGGAATCGAAAGCCAATCAGAAACGCTACTGCACAACCACGTGACTGACGCGCCGTTGCCCCGCCCACTTTATCCGCCGATCAAACACAGAAGCGGATCGACTGGACTCCTGTGTGGACAGCTTGAGCGGATTGTGTGATTAGTTATGAGTCAGATAGCCGTGCGTGCGGATTTGTGTCGAAGTCTGGCAGTTCTGTTTATGGAGAAAGGAAAAGGAAAGTAAACACATGTTTAATCTCATCGAACAGGGCAGTGATTCTCTTCGTACCTGGTATTATATATACGCTGAGTTGGACAAGGTAAATCTAATTATTTAAGGCATATTGTAGACGAATGTAACAACATATACTAATAATATTTGGATCAGCTTAAAAGCTACCATATTAGTGCTAAAGAATGTTTCATGCAAAAGGTCTGTAATAAGAGTTCATTCACGCCGTTGATGTGGTATATTTTGTGTAGAAATAAAAACATGTTCTTATTTCATATTACTTCAAGGTCAGTGTTTTGTTATGAATCAATGATTGCGTTGTCATCTGTGCATGAATAGAGATCTCGGTATCATTAATCCTACTATAGTTATTCAGCACATGAACACTGGATGTTATTGGGCAAAAAATTAGAAATAGTTTCCTCTGAATGTTATGTCTGAATGTCTTAGATTATAATAATTTAATTTTAAATCACAGCCACCACAAAATCAGACTTTTAGCACCTCTTTTTACTTTGAGATCATTCTGAGGTTAAACACAGATTTAAAATCATAACAAGAAATAGTTTAGTAGCTATGATACTGTTTTTGAAATCAAATCTTTGCATAGCTACGACAGAAAACACTGGAATCTAACAATGCCTTGGAAAAAAAACTGTTAATCTTAAAAAATAAAGTGTATATTTAAATCCAAATAGGAAATAAACAGTTATTAAATAAACATGTCCTAATAAACTCTTGAAACATTGGTGTCTCATATTTTAGAGCACAATTTGGAAAAGAAATCAATTAAATCTGTATGTGTGTGAAAATATTTAGATGTAACTCCCTTTGTATTCTGTAACATTTTCACAAGTAACTAATTTAATTACACTTTTTTTCTCAGTAACTGTAACAGATTACAGTTACTTTTATTGTGTAACTAAATTACGTAATTCCGTTACATGTGACTAGTAACTCTGCTGTTTACACCTTTTTATTTCAGCATGTACCCAACCTCCTGCGACACTTTTGTAGCCTTGCCTCCGTCTACAGAGGGTCAGCGGATAGTCTTCGGGAAGAACTCGGACAGACCCTGCGATGAAGTTCAAGAGGTGGTCTACTTCCCTGCCAAAGACCATGAACCAGAGGAAAAAGTTGAGGTATCTCAGGAACTTCTGATACAGCTGTACTTTCTTCCACAGGCTTCAAATGAGTGTAGTGTACACATAAAAGCACGCTTGTCCGAGGTGGAATATTAAATGATTCTGTTTGTCATGTGATCAGTGTACATATATAGAGATAGAGCAGGTGGCTCAGACGTATGCAGTGGTCCTGAGTCGTCCCGCCTGGCTGTGGGGGGCAGAGATGGGGGCAAACGAGCATCAGGTGTGCATCGGGAACGAGGCGGTCTGGGGGAAAGAGAGTGTGGACGGTGAAGAGGCTCTCCTGGGCATGGATCTCGTCAGGTAATCCAACAAACAATTCTTCAGTTAAGTATTTCATATTCAGCATTAACTGATATTATTCAAAATATGTTGCCTGTTAAAAAAAAAGTGTTATGTTATGGATTTTTCTTTACACATCCTAAAAGTCTAAATTAAGTTTGATCAAATTTAAGAGCATAAAAAAGTTTGAAATGTCATAAATGGTATACAAAATGCCTTAATTAGCATTTCAGGAGGTCTTAAATTCGGGGGGCGGAAAAACAGGAATCGTCATACAGCCTAAAGCCATTATTAAATTCCAAAAGGCTGTGATTTATAGATTTTCTCAGTTGCTTTGCTATGTTTGTCAGATCATTTGAAATTCTCAAAACTGCTTCTTCAACGTCAGCATCGTCTAGTCACTTGTGTACATCATAAATGCAATTTCTGTGCATTAATGTCATTTAGCACAGACACTTTTATCCAAAGCGACTTACAGATGAGGACAATAGAAGCAATCAAAACCAACAATAGAGCAATAATGCAAATGATTGTGTATGTACAGTTGTTGGCTGTTTCCTGCATATATTTGACTGGTTCTCTGTTGAATAGTCTTATCAAAATGACTAGGCAAAAGAATTAGAAACTGCTTTTATGATGTGTACAAGTGACTAGAAGATGATTAAAGAAACGGGTTTTAAGAATTTCAATTGTGATCTGACAAATGTACTGTAGCAAATGAGAAAAACTGTCAAATAAGATGCCAAAAAGGCTTTTTTATAATTAAAAGTATCACAAATGCATTTTTTTTTTGTGGGTATTATTGATATTTTGTTACACTGTAAATTGCATCTGGCAAATAATTCAACATAAATTAGTATGATATGTTCATTTCCTTTCTCTAAACACATTATTATCATATCAGTAAAATCTAATAACTGTGTGTATTTATATATTAGTACATAAAAACCAGTTACAATACAGAAATGTATTACATAAAATGTGATTCGAGTATTTTAAAATTGCACTTAATCTGTTTTGCAGTAGAATATGGGCCCAGTGTTTTTAATTAAGTAAAAGAATCCAAGATTGTATGGTTTGTTCTGCATGGACACAAAGTGTTAATTTTATTTGTGCAGGTCTTTAAAAAGGTTTTAAAGGAATAGTCCACCCAAAAAAAAACATAATTTGTGACCCTGGACCACAAAACCAGTCTTAAGTGAAAATCTGAAAGCTGAATAAATAAGCTTTCCATTGATGTATGGTTTGTTAGGATAGGACAATATTTGGCCGAGATACAACTATTTGAAAATCTGGAATCTAAGGGTGCAAAAAAATCAAAATATTGAGAAAATCACCTTTAAAGTTGTCCAAATGAAGTTCTTAGCAATGCATATTACTAATCTAAAATTAAGTTTTAATATATTTACAGTAGGAAATTTACAAAATATCTTCATGGAACATGATCTTTACTTAATATCCTAATGATTTTTGGCATAAAAGAAAAATCGATAATTTTGATCCATACAATGTATTGTTGGCTATTGCTACAAATATACCCCAGCGACTTAAGACTGCTTTTGTGCTCCAGGGTCACATTTACTCATGTTGTTCCAATCTTGTATGACTTACTTTATTCCTCTGTGAAATATAAAAAGATATTTTGAAGAATATTGATAACCAAACATTTTTTGGGTCCCATTTTTTCACTTTTATTGTATGGAGAAAAATTACAATGGAAGTCAATGAGAACAGAACCTTTTTGGTTACCAACATTCTTTATGTTTCTCGGAAAGAAAGGAAGTCATACATTTTTGAGTAAACTATGCTTTTAAATGCAATTTTAAACAAAGTGTGGGATGTTGTTTGTCTGTCTGTATAGGCTGGCTCTGGAGAGGGCCGACAGTGCGGAGCGGGCTGTGGACGTGATAACAGAGCTGCTGGAGAAGCACGGCCAGGGAGGGAACTGTATGGAGGATGAGTGTGGATTCACATACCATAACAGCTTCCTCATATCAGACCGCACAGAGGCCTGGGTGCTGGAGACTGCTGGGAAATACTGGGCAGCAGAGAGAGTGGAGGGTACATCCTGAGTCATGCCACATTACAGCTTCAAATTGAAATAAATCAAAGCGTTTAATGCTGTTTCTCTCTCTCTTAAAGCCGGCTATCGGAACATCTCCAACGAGTACTCCATCACTACTAAGATCGATAGGGAGCACCCGGAGTTGAGGACGAACGCAGAGAAGCAGCGCTGGTGGAACGGAAAGGCTGAGTTCAACTTTGCTAAGGTTTACTCCTACTCCAGTACAGCCCGGATCCAGGCCGCAGGGAGACGCTACTGTGAGGGACGCAAACTTCTGCAGAAGAGCGAAGGTGGCTGTCAGTTTGGTGGTCGAAAATGATCAGCAAATTCATGCAAAGATAATACTAGTGCCTTTCTTTACAAAACTAAAATTATAATTTAATGTTTGTTTGTTTTTAATGAATGTTTGTGTCTCAGTGAGCATGGGAAGTGCTACAGTGTGTGTGTGTGTGTGTGTGATTTTGACTTTTGATTGGCTTCATTTAGAATTAAAATAGCTTATAATTAATTGGATTTATTTGGTGTAAGAATCTGGACAAAAAAGAAGAATTGATGATTAAAAATTAGAAGAATTGATCATTTTGAATTTGCAAAGTTCCATACATCCATTTGTGATATTTCATAGTTTTAATGACTCTACTTATATGTTAATGTTGAAAATAATCATAAAGAACAAATAGATTTGTCAAACGTTTGACTGGTACAGTGTCTCACTATTTATGATTGTAAAGTAGATTATTTATGTTGTATAGATTATTCATGGACAGTTTTCTAAACTTGTTAGATCAGTTGTTCTGTCATTATACTGTCCTACAGGCCACATCGCAGCCGAGACAATGATGGAGATTTTGAGGGATAAGGAAAGCGGAATCAATATGGAGGGAATGTTCATGACCACAGGAAGTATGGTGTCTGTCGTCCCGAAAGACCAGAATTTACCCGGCGTCCACTTCTTCACTGCTACTCCAGACCCTGAGTGGTACAGTACACCAGAGTCACTGATATTCAAAAGAAACCGCTGTAGTACCTGTGTTTCGTGCTTTATAGGCATGTCACATAGGCTGTTAAAAATCACAAACACACACACATATATATATATATATTAGGGGTGCAACGGTTCAACTTACTCACGGTTCAGTTTGTATCACGGTTTTAGAGTCACGGTTTCGGTATGGTTCGGTATGTGCTATGTTTAGGTAAAAAATTATACTGTCAAATAAAAAATAAAGAAAATAAGAACAAATAATCTAACTACAAGCAACAGCCCTAAGCACAATAGAGTAAAGATACAAATATCACCCGGCTATGTCTGCTATAGATAGATAGATAGTTAGATAGATAGATAGATAGATATTAGGGCTGTCAGTTTAACGCGTTAACTTAATTAATTAGTTGTGAAAAAATAACGCGATTAAAATATTTTAACGCAGTTTACGCACTGGCCCCACCCCTAGACCTGTACGTCATCTTACATTTCATACAGTTGACTGTTGACAAATATGATGCAGGGAAACAAATCCATAAATGCAGTTATGCCGTAAAATTCAAGATACTGGGGCAAAAAATGCCCCTGTATGAGTTTTTGTCTCATATTTATATCATATAAGCATATCACATGAGTGCTGTTTTTGTCACGAAGGACACAGAGTGCAAATGTGATTTTATTCAACAGTTCAGTAAATAAGAAGTTAATGGTTTGCTATGTTTTAAACGTAGTATTGTGTGTTTTTGTTCAATTTTGCCGAGGAAAATATTACCTAAAAAGCCACAGCAGAATTGTTGTGCATCTCTGAGCAACACAGCGGTGTTTAGTTTCAGAATGAATCCGCGTTTTGAACGAATCGAGTGAATCAATGATTCAGTAGCCCATTCATAAAGAGAGCCCTTTACTTAATTCCTGAATGAATATGCCGTTTGAACGAATCGACTCATATAGACATTTACCGCCACCTACTGGTAGTCTTAGTTTCTTCTTTGGAGTATCATTTCATTTATTTAAAGGGGTCATATGATGCGATTTCAATTTTCAAGTGTTTCAACACTGCCAGTATTTATTAAGTAAGCTCTGCTACTAAGTTCACAAGCAAAGAGGTTAGCCAATCATAACAAAGGTCATTAGCATGGAAATCTTAAAGGTACAGTAGACAAAACTGTTTTGGAGAGATGGTTCTCATAAAAAAAACTAAATTACGAATGTTGTTTTGTGCAAGAAAAAATGCAGGAAATGTTTAATTCATCTCAAATAACGCTAAACATTTATAATCTAATTTATAGTATTATTATAATAATGAGGCGTATTGTTTGTTTGTTCAGGAGAGAGGACAGAAGATCGTAGAGAAAATGAGAGCGCTGGAGAAGCAGAAGCTGGCAGAGATGGAGAAATATCTGACGAAGGGGATTGAAGATGCAACGCTGCTGGTTCATCTCTTCACAGACACTGTAGATGAGGAGTTTAGTATTTACCAATCAGAATCAAGCACCGGAACTATCCGTTTTATAAATGTAGTTAACCTATGTTAACAAATTGTAAAGTGTTACAAAATAAATAAATCAATAATAAATCTTTTTTTTTTTTTTTTTTAATCTAAAAGGGTTAACTTAAAATCCCAGACACTTTTAATGACCCTCAGCTTCATATTTAAAAACCGCTCAACCCCTCAGACATAAAAGTTCCCAAAGTTGAATAAACACCCTTATACTGTTGCCAAGAGCTACTTGGAGATGTCATTTGCATAATCATTTAGGCACTTCCTGTATGTTTGGATATCATTTGAAATGATTGTACAGAAGGCAGTAATATATTTGAACTTGTTAATGGTTTAGTCTCATTGTTCTAAATGTTACTTAAATTAACTACACTCTAAAAAATGCTGGGTTAAATATAACCCAGTGCTTTAGAGTGTAATGGTATGTTTTTATCGTTTTAGAGTTTATGTCAAAGATCTTAAATGGGAAGTTTAAATTGTGTCCATCATGCCTTGTTATGTCCATGTGTCACGAAATCCATTTCCATGTCAGTTTTAATTAGAGAATGTCTTTATGATGCACAGATATCCTATGCACTCAACAAACACTTAAAGCGAACTAATTAATCCCACATGGATTCACTTCGAGAAATGTTTGATTGTGTGAACATTAGGTTTCCAGGACCTACTAACTCACCGCTCTATTAAAGTAGATCTATTTAGAAAAGGATCAACACTCAATAAATCCCACACCACAAACACAATGAGCTTTATTATTGTTTCATGGAATTCTGGTTTCAGTGACCAACTCAATGTTGTTGTTACAGCTGATAAATAACCCCCAAAATATCTGGCGCCCTCATGTGGATGTGAGAGGACATGCAACCACTTCCTTCCAATCAATTATGTGAAGCGAATAAATCATTTGGAATTAAGCTACAAAAATAATGGAGATGTGACTGCGTTTTGATCCATTTCGTCTTTGGTATTGTTCCTCTAGTAGTCACACTTGTACTGTTTGTTGTCAGAAAAAAAAAAGAGACAAGACAAGACACAATCGCATTATAATTTTGTTTTTTAAATGGGTTGCACTTTATTTTACAGTATATGCACTTACTGTAACGTACTACAATAAGTACATAATATGTACACACAGAACAGGACTGTAAAATAAAGGGCTACCATTATTGAAATTAGATATAGTACATTCATACATACACCTTTAAATGATAAGCTCAAATATTTTTTTGTGCTGGGTATATTCACCTCTGAATTACACACATTAATTTTTTTTTAATTACATCTAAAAAAAATTTAAAAAAACTAAATATAAGGTTGGGCTACTACCCAGAAGGTTGGGTTAAACATTTAACCCAACCGCTGGGTCAAAACAGCCCAATTGCTGGGTTTGTCCGCATTTTACCCAGCACTGGGTTGTATTTAACCCAGCATTTTTTTAGAGTGTAATGGTATGTTTTTATCGTTTTAGAGTTTATGTCAAAGATCTTAAATGGGAAGTTTAAATTGTGTCCATCATGCCTTATGTCCATGTGTCATGAAATCCATTTCCATGTCAGTTTTAATTAGAGAATGTCTTTATGATGCACAGATATCCTATGCACTCAACAAACACTTAAAGCGAACTAATTAATCCCACATGGATTCACTTTGAGAAATGTTTGATTGTGTGAACATTAGGTTTCCAGGACCTACTAACTCACCGCTCTATTAAAGTAGATCTATTTAGAAAAGGATCAACACTCAATAAATCCCACACCACAAACACAATGAGCTTTATTATTGTTTCATGGAATTCTGGTTTCAGTGACCAACTCAATGTTGTTGTTACAGCTGATAAATAACCCCCAAAATATCTGGCGCCCTCATGTGGATGTGAGAGGACATGCAACCACTTCCTTCCAATCAATTATGTGAAGCGAATAAATCATTTGGAATTAAGCTACAAAAATAATGGAGATGTGACTGCGTTTTGATCCATTTCGTCTTTGGTATTGTTCCTCTAGTAGTCACACTTGTACTGTTTGTTGTCAGAAAAAAAAAAGAGACAAGACAAGACACAATCGCATTATAATTTTGTTTTTTAAATGGGTTGCACTTTATTTTACAGTATATGCACTTACTGTAACGTACTACAATAAGTACATAATATGTACACACAGAACAGGACTGTAAAATAAAGGGCTACCATTATTGAAATTAGATATAGTACATTCATACATACACCTTTAAAGGATAAGCTCAAATATTTTTTTGTGCTGGGTATATTCACCTCTGAATTACACACATTAATTTTTTTTTAATTACATCTAAAAAAAATTTAAAAAAACTAAATATACTCTTTCTGTGAAGCACAGATATCCCGTGCAGTCAGTAAACACTTTAATTGAAGTACTTTGTAAAGTTAATCAATCCAGAAGGATTCATCCAGAGAAATGTTTTATTGCGGAAACTGTAAATTGACTTAAACATAAAAATAACTCACTAACTGTCCACAAAATAATAATGTTAAAAAAAGGAAAATAATCTCATTACAAAACTGCAACAACAGCCTGTGTGGTGCAGAATCAGCTGTAAACCTTAGACTTCACATTCAACTCAATTCTATCCGTTATGGATAAATAAAATTGTGAAATGATTATGTCAGGCAGTTCAATAATAACAACAATAATAATGATGTCGAAATAATAATAAAAAACACTAAGAGAGATGAGCAGGATTTCCAGTCACCCCTTTGCCATCCGGTATGTGTGAGGTAGCTAAAGTGTTCAAGACCTCATTTTAACCAACTACTTTCACATCTGGTTATTGCTAGTAGTATCGGTAGAATAAATAATTCACTGAAATGTGTGTGCTGTGTCATCGGCTAAAATGTGTGTCTGCCAGCCTTAGAAGCGATTCGCTCGTCTACGTGAAGCAGTAGTGCAGAGCTTCATCCTGGAAGCCGTGCTCGAGAGTGATGTGTTGAATGACTCCTCCCTCCAGCAGACGCCAGCCGTACGCCAGAGCCTCCCCCGAGTCGCTGGCCAATCCCACGCTCTGCAGCCAGCGCACCATATCACTGCCCAGAAACGCCTCTGTGGTGCTTCTCTGTCCACACCTGCACAGCAGAGCATGCGTCACCGACTGCACCCAAACCAGACCAGACAGACAAGACACAGAGAGACAGGCAGGCAAGGGTAGCAAGCGGCAGATAGACAGGAAATGACAGATGATTAGAAAGCAAAGGAAGAGGTTTGGGAAAAATAAATCCAAATGTCATGCTTTTAAAAAAAAAATCATATTCATGCAAATATGTTTTAACATGCAAACATGATGTAACATGCATCATTTAAAAAATAAATGCATGCAAATGAATGGTTAATTCAGATAATTCAGTGCAAAAAAAAAAACGGAGAGCAGTGGAGGTTCTCTCACCTTTTCTTGTGAACGATGTCTCTGACACACTGCTCCTTGTGATATGTGAGGAACTGAGTACAGGTCAGTCTGATCTCCTCGGACGCTGCAGAGCCTGTGACCTCCTGACCCCAACCCTGCCACAGGCGCACTAACCTTTACCAACATACAGAAGGCCACCGAATCAGTTTATGTTTATTATTATGTGTTATACTTTTAAAAATTCACATTAAAGGAATAGTTACCCTGAAAATGGAAACATGCTCACCCTCGGGCCATCCAAGATGTAGATGAGTTCAGATCAGATTTGGAGAAATGTAGCATTGCATCACTTGCTCAGCAAAAGATGCTCTGCAGTGAATGGGTGCCGTCAGAATGAGAGTCCAAACAGCTGATAAAAACATCACAATAATCCACAAGTATTGTGATATTTTTGTGATAAGTATAAGTGAAGTGGAAAAACTGTGTTTATGATAAATTCATCATCAAAGTTTTTTTTAACTTCAAACCGTCTCTTCTGGCCAAAATACCAGTCCATAATCCATAATAATGCTTCCTCCAGTGGAAAAAGTCCATCCCCTGTTTTCCCTCACATCAAAATTTACACACATATTTGTTTAGAACTGTTTTGGACTCTTTTTGCTCATAAACAGTGTTTGATCTGTGCATATTTCTCTCCTGATTCAGACAAGACAACGTTTTGACTGGAGAAAGCAATATTATGTATAGAAGACTTCTATATTTAGCCGGAAGCAATGGTTTGAAGTTAAAAACGTCTTAATGATGGATTTGTTTTTTACAAATACACAAGTTTTTCACTTTACAAGATGTTAACTGATGGACTGGAGTGGTGTGGATTACTTGTGGATTATTGTGATGTTTTTATCAGCTGTTTGGACTCTCATTCTCATGTTTTCAGCAATTTTTCATTTTTGGGTGAACTATTAAAAACTATTTAATACTATTTTTTCTACCTCTTTATAAATAAAAGCTCCTTCCTCTATCCAGACCATTTATTGAAGAAAAGCCACAAAAACATTTTTCAAAACTGTTTTTGGAAGAAACTTTAACATTACAATGACATTAAACCAGTAATTTGACTACAAAGGCTACAGCCCATTTCATTATTTATTAATTTTCCCCACCACTTATAAAAATGTCAATAAAGTTTTTTGTATGCCAATGTTCTACCCTCTCTCTGACCCTTAAAATTAAACAGGCAGCTGTGCCGTTAAGACTCAGGAAAATGCCATACTTGAATGTACAATCAGAGACAGCATTTTGCTGCACTGTGAAAGCTGTGGGTTATTAAATGCTCCATCCTTCAACAACAGCCTTTTTTGCAAAGCTGCATTGCACTGTAACAGGATCACAAAGCAATCCTAACTGAAAATGTGCCACTCAAACTATTAAGAGGTCAGGGATCTTGTTCTTCGCTCCAGCCACTGTAATGTTGTGAAGTGTCTGCAGAGCAGCAGGTGCTACACACAGCCAGAAACAACACACATTTTACTATTATCATTAGTTCTTCTCTGCCATTTAAGGATATATTCTATATACAGCTTTTTCTGTATTACCTAACCGTGACTTGGCAGCGCCGGGTAGGTAAAAAGAGGATATGCAAAGCATTTATAATGTGCTATTAGCAAACCTACTTTGACTTGATTGGCCATCTCAATCATTCTGACGAGCACTGTTGGACCCGTGAGGCAAAACAGCCTAAAAAAGTAACTTTTTGTCATCCTAACAACAAACAGGAGTGCTGCATAATGGAGTGCAATGCAGAGTGCAATGCAAGAATTTCAAATTTTAGAGGTGGGCATTTTGGCCCATAAACTAATCGTGGGATATCCACTGAACCTAGAACGGTCCCATTTTTTTTGGCAAGTTTGAAGACTAATTGCATGCATTTTTCATCACTAATGTGTAAACGTGGATTGTCACGTGTTGTTAATGCATTCAAATGAATTCATCTGCTCTAAGTTGCGGAAGACGCATGACACAAGGCATTTTTCAGCTTAATCTCAATAAATGCACTTCTTGGACTGGAGATTGCAATTGGAAGTTGTAATTTCAGAAAATAAAAGTATGCTTTCAGAATTTCTCAAAAGATCACAGAAAAAATATGATTCATCATCATACGACCCCTTTAATAAAGCTTAAGCTTAGAGTTTCATTTAGTTACCTCTTTTTGAACGGAGAAATAATCAAATGCTTGTCGAGGCCAAAAAAGGCAAATGAAATGAGACCCTGCAGTGGAAAAAGACAATAAGAGACATGTGTTTCAGTTAAAGTTAGACTTCAGCACAACGCATGTGACAGGCACACAGATTTACCTGCCCAAAGTTGGCCACCACACAGAAGAACTGCAGCTCCAGATACAGCCGCCCTGGATCTTTATTAAAGAGCCACCACAGACAGCTGGAGAGATTCTACAAAACACACACACAACTGATTCACAGAAGAATGACTAGACTCTGAAGAACAGTGAAACCCCACCCACAGATAAGAGTGGCATGCGTACTGACATGAGCTAATGTGGTGTCATATGCAAAGCAAGCAAAAACCTTTTTTGGTCACACTTTTTATGTGGCACAAAAACATCATGTTCATCATAAAAGAGGTACTCTATGTACTGTAATTTTAATTCATATTTGAATAAATTAATAGATCTGGGCAAAAACAAAGAGTTATCACATTACTGACCCTCATACATTTTTATGGTAATACCTTACCATACTTTTTATAATGTCAGAGTATAATTGCATGTGCATGCTAATTGACTGTACTCACAGCGAGCAGACTGACGGTCAGTAACAGACACACAAGCACATGTCTCGTCGACTGTATATCTGTGTTCTGTCTGTCTGCCACTTTCTGTTCCTCTTCGACCAGCAGACAGCTTGTGGATGTGCACTGCTGGCTACACTGACCTAAAAACAGCATTCAAGATTATGCATATTTTAATATACATTTGTGCCTTTCAAAATGTATTCCATTGATTTTCAGTGATGTTTTATCGAAGCAGAAGTCATTAAAGAAAGAGTTCGTGTCCTAATGAAAATTCCATCATAACAGGCACCCAATTTCATTTAAAGTTTACACAAATTTTCAAGCAACTTTTCCATACGTATAATATCATTCATATAATAAAGTACAGTTGACCTTGTCTGTCATGCTCAAAAGGTCTTTAAAGTATCAAAAAAGTGGCCCACATATGAGGAACAGATATAAATATCAAAAAAATGCTTTTCGTTCTTCATTAGCATAACAGATGCTGTGCGTTGCAGATGATATTTCAGACATGCTGATGTTCAAGACTGAAACGGACTTCACATCTGCACTTCGTCGCACAATTTTCAGAGTTCTGAAAATATGCACAAAGAGCAGAAAGAGATGCTGTAACCACACTGTTAGATTCTGTGTATAATGATTGAGAACATGATTAGACAAGCTGCGAACTGTGGTGCCTGTTTTCAGATGTAGTGAGCATGTGAACTAAATATTAAATTTCATAAAGTTGGCTGGATCAATCTTCTAGATTCTTTGAAAGTAATTCTTGACAATCAGCTTACCAGGAAACCAAATAGAGTGTTTAAAATGTTGATATGAGCAATTACGAGGACGAACTATTCACTGGATTGGCCAGTTTCAATTTGGTTTCATTCAATGCAGGTCTATTAGGAAAACGTACTTATCCATACATCTGCTGAATGTTCTGTTGAGCTCTAGATACAGCGATGCCATCTCCTATCTATCTAGAGCAGGGGTGCCCAACCCTGCTCCTGGCGATCGACTGTCCTGCAAAGTTCAGCTCCAACCCTAATCAAACACACCTGAAGCAACTAATTAGGGTCTTCAGGATCACTTAAAAATTAAAGGCAGGTGTCTTTCTTTAGAGTTGGAGCTAAACTTTGCAGGACAGTCGATCGCCAGGAGCAGGGTTGGGCACCCCTGATCTAGAGTGAGTGAACAGGAACTGAAAGAAAGAGGGAACCTGTTTGGATGGATGCTTCCTCGTTGGTGCTCGTCATGTCAGGCACGGACTGCAGACGGCCACACGCACACTCGCACGCCTGACAGTCTGACAAACACACACAAACATCAGTCAAATTCTCTCACAGGCTCTCTGAATGGCATATACTATTTTCATTCTCAAAGTAGTATGTACTCTGTGCTGCTCACTATGAACATTTTCTGTATTTATGAAACAACTAGATGAATCTAAAATGAGCTGCTTACAACCAGAACACAGCGTGTGGATAACTGTATCCCACAATGCAGCACGCTTGACTTCCATTTCTAATGTGATGACTGTCTTATCTCCATAACTCAAATGTTCCTAGAAAATTACCTTCAAAATGCAGAGAAGGATTTTTATTTCTGAGATGATATCTGGGCGCCAATTGTTGAACTAAATGTGACATCATGAGATCATGTAACATACTGTTCGAAACATCATTTCATTATAAAATACAGTTCTACATATGTGACCCTGGAGCACAAAAGCAGTCTTAAGTCGCTGGGGTATATTTGTAGCAATAGCCAACAATACATTGTATGGGTCAAAGATTTTTCTTTTATGCCAAAAATCATTAGGATATTAAGTAAAGATCATTTAATATTGTCCTATCATAACAAACCATACATCAATGGAAAGCTTGTTTATTCAGCTTTTAGATGATGTATAAATCTCAATTTTGAAAAATTGACACACAAGACTGGTTTTGTGGTCCAGGGTCACATGCCATAGAACCATAATGCGTTTTTATATAATAAGTGGGCAGTATAAAACATATACTGTACAGCATGGGATAAACAGTATGCTATTATGTATTCAAGGGTCAGCTTCACAAAATCCTTCTTAACTACAATTATTTTCTAACTTTATTCCCAAAACATTTCTCAAGAATGTTCATATGTTTTCTTAAGATTGTTCTAAAGACAAAACTTGAAGATTAATCGGAATTCCTGAAAAGAATGTTCTTAAAAATCATCACATATACCTCTTACAGTCAGGATAACCTCTAACTTGTCTTAAATACCCAAAGGTAAGATGATGATTAATGAATTCATTGGGTTGTTTCAAATAGTAAAAAACTATTAATATTACGATACATATAATACATATTACTATTACTAAGGATGTGCATGAACACTCTGAAGTGACACGATAAGTGTAAGCAATCAGCGAGTTTCTGCTGAATTCGAAATACGCAAACAAAAACAGATGAGAGAGCACAAGAAAGTTAGAGCACAAAAGCAACACGCCACATTAAAACTACTGCCTTCCATTTACTTCTTTAAAAAAAAAGAAAAAAGGTTAAGAAAATGTTCTTTTGAGAATTGCACTTAGGAGCATTCTTGTGAACGTCTTAGAATCTATCTTCGGAAATCAATGGAAAGCTTATTTATTCAGCTTTTAGATGATGTATAAATCTAAATTTTGAAAAATTGACACTTAAGACACTTTGTGGTCCAGGGTCACATACAGTGACCATATAACCATAATGCGTTTTTATATAATAAGTGGGCAGTATAAAACATATACTGTACAGCATGTGATAAACAGTATGCTATTATGTATTCAAGGGCCAGCTTCACAAAATCCTTCTTAACTACAATTATTTTCTTATTTTCTTTTTTATTCCCAAAACATTTCTCAAGAATGTTCATATGTTTTCTTAAGATTGTTCTAAAGACAAAACTTGAAGATTAATCGGAATTCCTGAAAAGAATGTTCTTAAAAATCATCACATATAACCTCTCTTAAAGTCAGGATAACCTCTAACTTGTCTTAAATACCCAAAGGTAATATGATGATTAATGAATTAATTGGGTTGTTTCAAATAGTAAAAAACTATTAATATTACGATACATATAATACATATTACTATTACTAAGGATGTGCAAGAACACTCTGAAGAGACACGATAAGTGTAAGCAATCAGCGAGTTTCTGCTGCATTCGAAATACGCAAACAAAAACAGATGAGAGAGCACAAGAAAGTTAGAGCACAAAAGCAACACGCCACATTAAAACTACTGCCTTCCATTTACTTCTTAAAAAAAAAAGAAAAAAGGTTAAGAAAATGTTCTTTTGAGAATTGCACTTAGGAGCATTCTTGTGAACGTCTTAGAATCTATCTTCGGAAATACCTTAAAGGGGTCATATGATGCGATTTCAAGTTTTCCTTTCTCTTTGGAGTGTTACAAGCTGATTGTGCATAGATAAGATCCCTGAAGTTGCAAAGACTAAAGTCTCAAAACCAAAGAGATATTCTTTATCAAAGTTAAGACTCTGCCACGCCCCCCTAAAACGGCTCATTCTAACACGCCCCCACATATCTACCTCACTATGTGAAAATATTTGCATAATGCGCCCAAATGTGCAAGCAAAGAAAGAAGGCGTGGTTTCAGGAACAGCAGTTAGTGTTGAAGCAGCCATGTCAAGGAGACGCTGTGTGTTTCTAGGCGAAAGCAAAAGCACTTCATTTGGCATTTCCGAAAGTAGATACATTTAGGAATCTTTAAGATTACTTACAACAGAACAGCAATGCATTTTATGGACGACCGTTTCGTGAACCTAGGAGAGGAGGTAATTCTGACTTTGCTATGACAATCTGGCACTTCTGAATCAGCTACTGTAAGTATGTTTTGCTATTAGTTTAAGTATTTGCTATTGACCGTTCAAATGCGGAGTTTTGCGCATCATGTGTGCGCGCGCGTGAGAGAGAGAGAGAGAGA